TCTTTCTTTCTTTCTTTCTTTCTTTTTCAAAGATTAACTGTGGATGCCACTGATAGCCATTTCCCCAATAAACACTTCTGGAAATGTTTGCTTATTAACAACATCAGACGCTTGTAGTGATTGCTTCTCCTTTATTAAAGGGGCTAAAAGCCTTGTGCTTGCACGCTCCTGTTGTCAACATGGAAATGATAAACAGCATTTCAGAAGGTCATGTTAGGAAGTGTAGGTGCACAGTGTGAAGTGAGGGAGGTGGAGAGAGATTGAGTGTCCTTGGGAAAAGCCATCAACTGGCACCACCACACCCATCCCTCCCATTTTCAGCTCAGTGCACTCTTTAGCCGAATAATTGATAGTGCCTGTGAGATACAAAGGACCGAGATGAAGATGTCTCAATCCCTGGGCTGCAAAGCAAGAGCTATGGGGACAGCTGGGCAAGCTGATAGAAAGATAACACATATGTTTAGGACTGTGTATGACGTAAATAAAAAAAGACATTGTAAAATAGCTATTTAATAGAAAAGCCATCCCTCCTTGTTTGAAAAAAACTAGTGAATGGAGATAATTATAGTCCATGCAATTATAAATATACAGATCCCCCAATGATATAATTACCACTACAGCTGTCTTACCTTTTTTTCTCAATGTGTAGTAGATCAACACAATGCATAACTAAAGTGGCAGTAAAATTATATTTTATGATTTTATCATTTCTGTTAGAAATGATAAAATCATTCTGGCTTCATTACTCTGGTTCCTCTTAATAAAATCCAGTGCAATCAAATATGTCAGGATTAACTTAATTATCAAATCGAGTCCAAATTCCTCTTCAAAAGCTGTTTCTCAGTTTTGTAAATTCCTACGATTTGTTCAAGAACATAAGAGAACAAAGAGCATATAAAGAAAAGGAACACAGTAAACAGGGAAAAAGGTGGGGAGAGGTTTTAATGGAAGTATAGCAATAGAATAATAGTGCAAGGTTTGGACATCTCACAGAGCTCTGTTCCATCAATCATATGAAAATCAAATCTTCAAGGAGCTAAAAAGATATATGGCTAAGGTAAGGAAATCAGATGTCATAACTTCTTATTGCCACCTTTGCACATTTGGTCTTTATGAGAATTGACTGGAAGAAATCAGCTGTTCAAAGCAAACCATTGAAAAAGATTCTGTTTACCTACCAAAGCCACAAAAGGAAATATGTGGATCTAGTCATTATGATTCAACAATGGCAACACTGACATTTTCAGAAATGTTTCATTCAAGATTTAGTTCTTGTAGTTTAATAACTACATAAATAGTGCATTTGTTTATTTCAATTCCCTAAACTCCCTTATTTATTTTTGTTTTCAGAATATCTATTAGTCTATGTGTTGCACCTCATTACCAAAACAAATGACCTGCATGTGTAAAAGCACTACAAGAAAATAAGGTCTTTCTGGTTTTGATTAAATGATTAAATGATTAAAAGTTAAGATGTTTTAGCAGGTTTGTGAAAGCTGTTTAGAGATGATGGAGCTGAATGTGGAGGAGTAATGAAAAACAAAAAACAAACAAAAACTTTAAGAATATGGAAAAAAAACGTATGACTATGTTCTAGCATAATTATCGACCTAAACATATAAAAAGAGCCAAAACAAATTCTTTTTATTTAAAAATAGTCCTGTCAAGAATATGCAATGATTGTTGAAGAACACTGATGTTTATGCATGCTCTCTATACCTTTTTTGGCAAGAGTTAATTTGGCAGTTAGTTCTTTTTTTAATAAGAAAAGGCAAAGTTTTCATTATCATAAAACCCTATTTTTTTTACATTTAAAACCCTAAATGGCCAAACTCTTGTCTTATATCAGGGATCTGATTGTTCCTAACAGAACACTTCACTCTCAATCTACAGGTTTGCTTGTTGTTCCTAGTGGCAGATTCTTTAGTGATCAGGCCTCTCTCTACATCATCTGCTTCATACTATCTATTTTTCCCATTATGTAGTACTATTTAGTACTATGACCTCTAATGATTTGCTCTCTCTGCTTTTTCTCATCATAATAGCTTCATCTGGTCTATTCCTTTTTGGTTGTGACTCCATCCTGGAGAGCAATATCAGCTGCTCTGCTGCCGTCAACACCATTATGTATAATTGTTAGAGTTTGGCCTGTTTTTCAGTGTAGTCCTGTTTCTCTTACTCTGACTAACAGTATGTACTCTCTTCACCCTCTTACATGGATAAAATGGCTCAGAACTCTTCAGCCTGGCTGTGTCTTTCCTGAACAAGACCACAGTTACCTTTTGTAGCTCTTCCTTTTCTTTGTCCACTTCTGTCTCCTTAAACCCCAGTCGGCCACAACAGATGGACGCTCATAGTGAGCCCGGTTCTGCTGAAGGTTTCTTTTGGAGTTTGAGAGGGATTGCTGTCAAGTCAATAATTCAATGCATTCAGCAGCTTTTCCTCAGATAATTTTTTTTAATTCAATCTGGCTGTATTATCTGGTTGAATATTCTTTGTAAATCGGCTTGAGTAACATGGGTTCTGAAATGGCATTATATAAATAAACTTAATTCAAATTGCCAGCATGTCATGTAAAAAACAAAACAAAAAACAACATACTTGAACATTCGGTTTCTAACATGTCAATTATGAAAAAAGTTCAGTGGGTATGAACACTTTGGTAAGGCTTTTACTTGATATATAAAGATACAAAATATAATCGTATTTAAATATCGCTGAAATGTCATATTTTTTATATTTTTTTGACAAAAAATAGCTCTGTTTTTAACATAAACTTTTGTTACACTTATGTGCCACAGCTGTGATCCACCAACATCCATATATATATATATATATATATATATATATATATATATATATATATATATATATATATATATATATGTATGTATTGTTTTACATTCTACTTGGAGTTGCAAAATGACCGAAAAATGTAATTTTGCTGGAGCGAGGCGGAAATAATAGAACTATTTCAAGGCAGCAGTAGCTTTGTTTCCTCAGTTTCATCATACTTACAGTACCTTATGTTTCCCCTTCTAGTGGTACTGGCTCCTCCCCATCTAACTATCCTGAGGTTGTGATGGACTTAGAAGAAGTATTACATCTTTTTTTTTTTTATCTTGCTTGTGTGTGTTTCACCTTTTACTGTCTCAAACCGAGACGGCCAGTTGTCAATTGTTTTTAGGTTTTCCCTCTCTTGAATTAAACCTGAGCAAAAAAAAAAAAAACTCCATATGAAGAAACTTAAAGAAATACTGATCTACTCTAAGGTTTATTAATGAAATAAAAAAAAAGCAAAGAGTGTAAAAATGACAAAAGTTTGATGGATTTCTCTTTAGATACATTCCACAATCAAACAGTGTCTCTCCAGGATGTTTATCGTTCCTTTAAGATCATCATTTCAAAGCTAATTGAACCAGTTCTTTGTTCACCTTTTGCTACCATACATTTTGATGCCCTTTTACTTGCCTTTGATATGTAAGAGTTGACTTCATTATCAGTATGCCTTTTTGTGGCTTAGTTTCAATGTAAGTGATAATCATCTGAATCAACAAAAATATTTAGTTTAATGTAGAGCTCTATAAATCTCTATAAGATTTATATTTTTAAATAAATTAATAAACCTGCTGTTTTACACTTAGACACACATAGAGTATATCTCTGATAACCAGTTTAATTTGATTTGAATGCACTAACAGTGCCCTCTACAGGTATAATAGCAACACCCAAAAGTAAAATTATTCTAAATTGAGGCCCAAAAAGAAGCAGTAAGGTATTACACATTTTGGAATAAAGAAATCCTTCTTTATTTATCATTACCGGACGTTTGAGTCCTTAAATGAACCAGTTGCTGACCATGATAACGGCAACATACATCAGACTTATGACAGCTTTCCTGCATGCTGTAAAAGGAAGCTTTGGACAGCAACTGCTTCCTCATGATAAATATATTCCACAAATATGATGCTCCACTTAGTACAGCGTTTAACTGCAATGGCAACACAATTAGAAAAGAGGAACTTCCAGAAATACAGCGTCTGACTCAGGGCAGCTGTTGGGGGTGCACCCACATGTAGCTAAATTTAAACAGTCACACTCTTTCAGATTTTAATTTTGCTTTTTAAAGTTATTCATTTCTTTTTATTCTTAAAGTGTGATGCTGACTAGCTCAGAAATATATTTGCTATGCCTTTGATTCCTCTGAATTTAATTTATAATGTGAATAAACAAAGAGGAAGGACACTTTGACACTGTACTGTCTATATAATACCTAAAAACTGAATAAAGAGAGAACTAAGACAATAAAGAAATGTGATCTTAAAGGTGTTATTAAAGTCCTATACAATTAATTAAGATAGGAATGTGGCTGCAGTGGCAGATATTAGATGAATGCATTTTTTTCATTTTGGGACATTTTTTCTAGTTTTACTCTGACTGCTGTAACAAAAATAATAATAATAATAATAATAATAAAATACTGCTGAAAGTTTGAGCTACATATTTAAATTTAAACAGAAAAAAACTCACAGACACCCAGCAATCTCCAGCTATAAATAGCATATTAGACAACAGGAAGCTGGCTGACCAATCACCATTATCACACCCAACGTTCACATTTCCCGTTTCTGTGTTTCAGTCTTGGTGTTTTATGCAGAAACACACCCAGACACAAACATGTTTGTTTTACAGACTTACTGAGGACCTTGTATTAACTTCTGTGTATTTTAAACCTTTTCTACGTCTTAACCCTGACAATAACCCTAAACCTGAGCATTACAGGTACATGCCTAAAAATAACAACAACCTAACCTTAAACCTAACCCCTAGTAAAAAAGGATGGTGATGTAAAACGGTCTTAACTTCACACTTAAGTGCTCACATCACTGGTTAAATACGGAAAATACATTTTCACTAACATGCAACAATGAGCACACACACGTACGCCCACAGAGACAGGGCAAAAAAGAGAAAGAGAGGGGGAGGAGTGTGGGGAGTGAGTTGGTTAAATTGATGTCAAACGCTTTTGACAGTCACCAAAAAAAAGTGAGGAGCTACAGAACAGAGCAGCGGAGAGCCCAATAATGGAGCCACAAGAGATCAGAGAAGGATATCTTGTTAAAAAGGTAAGAATAGCAGTAAGAATACACTTTCCTTCCTAATTTGTTGTTCTACTCAGGCAACATCAAGGTTTTAAAATATTTATTCTTCACCTGACAGTACTGTACTGATGACACTTTTTAGAAACATCCAATTTTGCCTCATGAAATGTAATATTTACCCTTGAAGCTACACGGCTAATGGGTTTTGTTGTTTTAGAGAGTCATGGCCTTAAGCCTAACACACTACAATATAGTTTCACATTTAGATATTACAACTGTTGTTCTGAAAAAAAAGCAAAAAAAAAAACAAAAAAAACTGCTATACCAAGAATATAGACATTTGAAGATAAGTATTTTATAACACTGGACATACTAAATGTTCTAACTTCACTAAGTTAGGAAAACATTTCAATAGAGGAACAGATGTTACGGAGTTGCAGCGCAACACAGAAATATGCACTTCTGTTCTGAAGGTGAAACAGAAACCCAGTTCTTACTTAGAGTAGAAAGTTAAATGTTTGCTTTGGCATATCTTTCTTTCATTTGTTGCACCTCATTTGGATGTTATTTAAAGCTTAGATGATTTAGATATTATAATATTTTTTTCTATTTCGGTTCTCTCCTACAATTAAATGAATTAAGTTCTGTTTCTTTTCAAAATAAAAAAACAGGTGGATTAGACAAACTTTAATAGGATATTTTTTTTTACCCTCCATTAGAAAAGTCATGCAGAACAGTTTTCATACAGGTTTTAAACACAGCGATATGTTAAGGTTATTACACGTTTCTCAAACAAGTAAAATGCTCTAACTTTTCTCAGACACCACAAAAAGTAACATTATTCCATCTATCCTCTATATCTACTTACTCAATGTGATATGTGTTGAGCTGATGCATATCTCCAGCAGTTGAGAGGTAGGTCCCAGATTTACACTCCATCCCAGGGCAACACTTGGGCAGAGAACCATGGACTCCAACCTTGTTTCAAATTTATAGCGGTCTAACCTAGCATGCATGTCTTTGGAGTCCATGAGAATACCAAAAAACTGCAAAAAACTACATTCACACAAGCTCTTATCTAGAGTTTGAACCTTAAAGCTTCTTGTTGCAAGGCAGCAGTGCTGAATAACTGAATCACCATGTATTCATAAATTAGTATCACTGTGTAATTATGCTGAGAAGCTTTGCTGGAAAAATGTATGTAAGTTCTGTCTTCGACCTTCAACTAGCAATCACATCTTATTCACAACTACACTTATGGAGCTACAGCTATGACAAAGATGTAAAAATACACTTATTTTCTCTGGGGTTTTTTCTGTTTCTACTAGGACTTTTTCAAAAAATGAATAACACAACAGATACATCAATAATACAACACTCACAAATTACACTTTTACAAATACATTTTAGGTTTGCTTCCAGCCAACTTCTTTTTTTTAGATGAAAACTTGTATCGGATATCTTTAAACATTGTACTGTCTTGGAAGAAAACAATAGAATCTGTCAGACATAATCTAACATTTACATTTGTGCTATATGTGTAAAGGGAAAAGAGAAGAATCCAAGCTGTAATAAAGAAGAGCTGCTAAATATTTTCTCCTTTCTCCTGAATCTACAGCATATATGACCTCTTTTTTAACAAAGACATTTTTAATTCTGTTTTCTGGACCTGAATACCTTTGAAGCCTCCAAAAAACAAAACAAAGACAAAAAAAAGAAGCTAAAATGAAACAAAATAACTAAATAAATGTTCAGAAGCATTTTGTTTGACCTCAACTTTTTTCTTGTAACTGAGCATGCTGTACAGATAAATCTCCCTTGTCTTTAGAGGTTAATTAAGCCGTTTATTCAAAGAAATCCTTGTTGTATCCTATGAAAAGTCTTGAAAGGTTTGTCTTGAATGTTAGTTTTATGTTAGCTTTGCAATGTCAGTTACGTTTTTGCACTCAATTGCAATAGTAAATAATTGTTGCAAAAAGTATGATACACAAACCTTTGTGAATTGATCTGAAGAATTGCAAGCAAGATCCAGAGTGACAAAAAGTTATCCTAAAATAGACATTAAGACATTTATTTGACATACAATGCACTACAACAGTACATACAGAGTTAGAGCTTTTGTACTTTTGCTCAAAACTGTCTTTTGTATTAATGATCCTCAGGGTACAGTGCTGAACTCCTGGAGTGCAGTGTGGGTGGTGCTGTCAGAAGATGGTTTGGATTACTATAAAAAGAAAACAGATCGTTCACCGAAAGGGATGATCCCACTGAAAGGAGCAACACTCGTCAGCCCCTGTCAGGATTTTAACAAGAGAATGGTAAAAAATGTTATTTGCAACCATCAGCATTTCTATAAGCACTGTAGGATAGATACAGTTCCAGTAATAATAATAATAATAATAATTATTATTATTATTAATGATAATAATATTATTATTAATATCACAGTTTAACAGCTTAGAAAATAAAAACTGAAAATGTAAAGATTTGGTTACAAAGAGAAAAGTAGTTTAGTTGATTTCCTCTATTCATTAAAAGAACCCTAAAACATGAAAATAACACTAACTCAACTTGCATGATTTAGCTGGTTTTCAAGATTACTACAGAGAAGAAACAAGATCACTTCTTTCAAGCTTCACATGTGGAGGAGAGAGAACTTTGGGTCAAAGACATCAAGAGATCCATAACCTGTTTGAAAGATGGCAAAAAGTTTGCCAGGAAGTCTACCAGGCGTTCCATTCGCCTACCAGACAAAGTCAACCTTGCGTAAGTAAAATTGATCTCATATTATTTTGTATCAATCAAAACATTTACAGAAAAAATTTATATGTTCTAATCACAAATTTTAATGATTTTGTTTGGAATTATATACGGTAATCTAAAACAAAAACGAGCATTAATAGGAGTGAAAGTAAAAGTGCACAAGGGTATTTATCAAAGTCAAATACAACTCTGATAAGTATTCCATGCATTTGCCTAATTTACTCACAAGAAGCAAAGGGCCTCACTGTATTCCCGAAGAAGGTCTGTACTGTAGATAAATGACTTGGGTCGGATAATCTGTTAAAAGGACAGCTTTTAGATGTCAATCCACAAATCTGCCAGAAAGAACCCCTTTCTTAAAAGAAAGTTTGTAAAATGTCCATCTGGGTAGTTTGTCACAGGTCATGCAGAGGACACAGAAAACCTTAAAATGGTATTTTCCATCCCCCTGAACACACCAACCTTAATTTGAAACATGACATACCATCCAGTTTGGATATTTGTATCAGAGCTTTTCACTCTTTAAGACAAAGTGGCTAAAGAACTAATACGGTGGCATCCTTTTATAACACGTTTAAACCCTAAAGCAATAAAAGTCTAACATTAAACCGACTGAACTGTAGGGCTGTGACGCCAACAGGCTTTGTGGTTCTGCCTACAAGTTAAAGCCGGATACCCAGACCCATGTTCAAAACTGAGATTGCCTCTTGTATGAGAGGTGAAATGAAACTTGACCAGAAGGTTACTTTCATTTCTCTCCACTTAGGGTAATCCTGGAAGAGAATCTATTATAGACTGAAGAGCTACAGTATTGAGAGTTGAAAGAAAGTTCACCTTATAGAAAGGGAAAAAAATCCATTAGAATATGGTAGGGGTCTCAGTGCTATGGCTTATCCCACAGCATAGGCCCCAACACCTTCCACCCTATATAAGTGAGCTTGAGCTATTCTAAGCCAATTTTGTCTGTTTCTAGACATATTTGAAAATATTTGCAATGCTGTGGTAATACAAGGTATTTCCCAAGGTAGTGCTAGTAAAATATATACAGTATCCCACACTTTTCAGAGTTTTATTTGTAAAAAAAAAAATAAAAAAATATATATATATATATATATATAGCTCAAAACAGGGTATACACAAGATGAATAAAATTGTTTTCTAAATTACCTTATATATATATATATATATATATATATATATATATATATATAATTTATTTTCTTTGTGCACTGATTTGTGTTGGTTTACTATAAAAATATCTACAAGTAATGAATTTAAGTATGTAACTGAGCATAACAAAAGGTGTTATAAAAATTAATGGGATATTAACACCTTTTCAAGGCAGTGTTAGAACCTCATTTGATCTCTATAAATATCATGCATGCAAAATGTTTGCAGCCTCACTGGTTTAGTGAGACTGCTTAATTAGTTAATGCTTAATACTTTTAGATTATGGATATTTAAATTCAAGGTTTGGTGAGCTGTGAATTGCTTTTGGTTAGAGACAGAAGAACAAGAAATTTGAATTGTGGTTACATTGTTTTTTCTCAGTGAGCTGTACATGCTGATGAAAGACCAGGACGAGGGAGTGAAGGAACTAAAACTCGAACAAGATAATCGGATTTTCAACCACTGCTTCACGGGTATTGCAGTCTAAGATTTATGGAAGTTACTACAGGTGTGGAGTAAGGTTTCTTTCTGTTCTTAACCTTCAAATGTGCTTAATCTTTTTCCACCACTTCTGCATTTTTTGCACAGGTGCGACAGTGGTAGAGTGGCTGATTTCGAAAGGGAAGGCGAGAAATAGCTCTGAAGCACTCATGTTAGCAGCGGGGCTTCTAAATGAAGGCTTTCTTCAGCCTGCGGATGACCTGTCAAAAGAGGGAGCAGAGGGTGGAGAGCAAACAACCTTCTTAGATCAGACAAAAGCTCTGTACTACTTTGTGAGTTCAGCTTAAAAATGTACCCAGGAGAAATGTTTCTTTCTTTAAACAAAATTGGTTGAAAAGTATTCACCCATTGTAGAGTATGGTATTATGTGCAATTCTTGATTGATAAGCTCAAAACAGGGTATACACAAGATGAATAAAATTGTTTTCTAAATTACCTTGCCAAAAATATCATAATATATTATTATATCTTATAAAAACAAAGGTGTTTATATTTAGCACCTCTTAGTTTAAAAGCAAATAAAATAAACTCAAGAGCAAACAGCTGTCTTTAGATGTTCCCACAATTAGCAAAAAGAGTTCAGCTGTGTTTTTATTTTAATCTTAGCATAAATATAGCTGTCCTGTGGCTGCCTTGTAGGTTTATTAGTGAAAAATACTGAACAAACAGAAACACAAAGACTAACAAACACAAAATTCTCAGGAAAGTTGTTCAAAGGAGATGTTTAACGCAACACTATGTCTTAAATGTCGAAGCTTTTAACACCTTATGCATGGTCCAATGCTCAATTTATCTTCTGATAATGGAAGGAATATGACACCACGAGCCACCAAGAACTGACCACCCACCTAAAGTGATGGCCAGGCAAAGACAGCAATATTCAGAGAAGCCAAGAGGCATTGGTTACTCTAGAGAGTGGAAAACTTAGGTGGAAGAACCTGACGACAGGGCAAATATGGCTTTTTTTGCAAGGGTGACAGTAATATAACTATGGAAAGAACGTCAAATGTCATGTAGAGGAAACAGCAAATATACTCTATTAAAGTAGCTGCTTTAGTCAAATGATAACATTTTCACCAGGCAGAATAATGTTTTTATACAGATCTGTACTGTCGCTACTCATCATACTAACACAACACCATAAAAGGTAATGCATCATCCTATATGGTTGTGCTTTATAAGCGTGGGCAGGGGAAACTGGTCAAAGACGATGGGAGGATGGAATTAACCATTTAAAGGACAACCCTGATAATAAAATTTAGAGACTGATAAAGGCAAGGCAAGGCAAATGTAATTGTATAGCAGAATTTAGTACAAAGACAATGCAAAGTGTTCTACATGATAAAGAGCTGAAACTGAGGTGAACTTTACTGAAAAATAACCCTTAAAATAAAGTCAGTTACTGTAGAGGTTAGACTTGAAAACTGATGATGTCAGACTTTCTATACCTTGCAATTTTACTGATTAACAATCAGTCTTACACACTGAGCCCCGATAAGACCTATTTACATTTTTTGCTATGACTTTCCAAAATGTGAAATGATTAAAGGGATATAATCGGTTTTGCCAAGGACCACCGCTATTGTTGATCATATTTATGTGCATCTTTGTGCTTTCAGGCCGATAGTGGATTCTTTTGTGAGGGCTACTCCAGCGATGAAGATGTTCTTCTGAAGGAAGAATTCAGGGGAAATATTGTAAAACAAGGCTGCTTGCTCAAACAGGTAAACCATAAAAGCAAACCTTATAGCCAATGTTTAACATTCTCTCACTAGCAAACAATTTTCATGAACATTGCAAACATGGGAAAAAAAAAAAAAACAGCAGTTATTGAAAAAGAAACATACTGTAGTTTAGCATTCAGATTATCAGAGCTATAAGCTTAGATGTAATTTGTAATGAGCGTTATTATACCTGATGAAAAGTTATTTTCTCACAGGGACACAGAAGAAAAAACTGGAAGGTACGAAAGTTTATACTTCGAGATGACCCTGCTTATATGCACTATTATGATCCTTCAAAGGTAAATATACTGATTTCACCAATGCTGTATGAACTTACACTTTTGATCAAATATGTAACCCTTTTAATCTTTCTAACTGTCAGGGAGATGACCCCCTGGGCTCAATACATCTCAGAGGTGCTGTGGTTACAGCTGTTGAGTATGTGCCTGATGGTGAGCGATGTTTTTTTTTCAGATATGATGCTCATATCTCTTCCCCAATGAGACAAAAAATTTAACTCTGATGTACTATCAATATAGTTTCTTCTACAATAAGCACATCAAACTCCTCTTTGTTTATTTAATTTCTGTTTCAGCCAAAAAGTATGACATTGATGGCAACCTTTTTGAGATCATCACCTCAGATGAGACTCACTATTTCCTGCAAGCTGCAACAGCTGAAGAGAGAAAGGAATGGATCAAAGCAGTACAGGTGGTGTCAAAAAGTGGAAAGTAACAAAAGTGGTGGATCAACAAGGGAGTATCTGTCAGCCACTGCTGTGTTGAACTTGATATACTATCAAACTTTTCTGGTGTTGTCTTTTATTGTGGAACAACTTCAATATTTCATTTTTATACTCACATATGTTAATACATTCAATGCTATACTAATCACAGTTTATTTAAGAGCAACATTTTTTGTAAATATATTAATATTGGATTAATACACTGAAAGGATCTGTATGTGTGGCTGCATACTTTACAATAACAAGGATGCTTCCATTTTTATTGAAGGGTATATTGTTGTTCTTTCTTTCAATAAATGCATATATTGAAATAAGTTGGTTTGAAAAACAGGAAGGTAACTGTTTTCAAAGCCAGTCTCACACATACAATAGTTGCTGCATGACAGAATTTTGCATGCAATGACAAGGATAATGGTGCTTTGTAAGACGAGCAAACTGTTTTTTAAGCTTGTAATTCTTTCACATATATTTTTTCTTACAAAGGTTTCTGGTATCATGCAAATTCTCAGCTCCTGAGTGTGAATAAAGTATGCATTGCATTCTGTCTGCAAAGTTCCAAAAGTCACTGTCTACATGTGGCAGTATTTCAGCTGCAAAAAGTACTCATCGAGGCTTTAGGATGACTGCCCAAAAAAACATGACTGATGACCTTTAAGGGTAGTGCAAAGTTTATAATTTGCAGAATTTAACTTGTAATTCTAATTCTACTTTGCAGGGCAAGTGGGTGGAATGTAAAAAAAATACTATAAAACAATTGGCAATCCTTTTAGGTTTGAGGAAATTACTTTATTTATTTAAAAATTAAACAATGACAGGAAACAAAGAGCAGAGTTTCTCATCATGGGTGTTTTTAACTAGGGTGATGTTTTTAAACTCAGTTATGGACTTTTTAGTGGGGTGTACTTAGTTTACAATCCAGTTGTTCTTTTTTTCATGTGAGTCACTAAATCCTTTTATAAATAGAGCAAAGAAAACTAGGCTTTGGTTAAATAAATGTAACCTCTACTTCAGTTAGAGTTATTAATATGTTTTGCTGGGGTCCATTTCATAAAGCAAGTTTATTGAAAAGAGGTTTTCTAACCCTGAAATCAGGGGGAATCTGAGTTTTCTGTTTCAAAAAGAGAGTTTATTCAACCTCTATTTCTGTTACCATTGGTAACATTGGTAACAGAGCAAACCTGGTTGGGGGCAGGTTTTCTTTAGTAAACTCTGAGTTTCCCTTGTCTTCGCTCTCCTTAGACCCAATCACACTGTTTGATTTCATGATTTAGACAGGATATTTTTGTCGTAGTATTGTTTCTACAAAAAAAAAAAAAAACATTCACTGGGTCTATTAGACACATTAGGTTTGTTTTCACGGTGACTCGTCAAGCTCCACTGACAATGGCTGACGCATGTTTTCCACCCAGAGTGGACCTATTTAGAGTTGATTAACCCACAGAAGCTTTTATGAAGCTGAAAACTCAGTTTCCATCCTAAGGCTAGATCAATTTACAGTAAGGATTTGAGTAAGGAATTAAAATAAGTAATTTGAGAATTTGAGTTTGTTAAATCTGCATTGTGAAATGGACCCCATTTTTTAACTTTAACCACAATAACATTTTCTGTTGTGAAACCGTTGTGGTTCAGGGAGGCATTTCAAATCACTTGAATAAAGCTGTCACTTCGATGCAACCAGATGCACTAACACCTAACACCCACTGACTTTCTCATACAGCAGTTTCGGTTCAGTGTAAAAAATACTCATGAATAAAGGCTTATAAAATGCACAGCTTAAAAGATTGCTGAGATGAAGGACATAATAATAATAGAAATGTTTGATTTTTTATTTTGTTTGAATCCCGGTATTGAGTTTTTCTTTATACTTTTGGAATATTTACAAATACAGAAAAAGAAAAGAAAAACTAATGTAACTTTGTAGACATCTCAGTGGCTGCCATTATTAGTAATACTTTATGGCTCATTGGTGTTTTTTGTTTACTGTATAAAACTGATAAGAATAAAGCAAAGCAAATCAAAGATATTTTTCAAATTCCATTCATTTGACATTTTTAGATTATATTTTATTCAGGTTTCTCATTTGACAGGGAAAAATTTTAGAGAAATTAAAGAAAAACTTTTTGAATTGCCTTGAAAACATTTAAGTCATTGAAAATTATTTATTATTGGGCAGTAAATCAGTTCATTGTTGTGTTGTTTACAGTTTATATATATATATATATATATATATATATATATATATATATATATATATATATATATATATATTGGCTTAAGTAAAAGCAAACTGCTTTGGGGCCTCTGCCAGATTGGAGGCCCCAAGAAAACTTACAAATTAACAGATACACCAACTGCTAGAGCAGGGATGTCAAACTCAAGTCCTCGAGGGCCAGTATCGTGCAGGTATTTTGGATATCTCTCTGGTCCAACGCAAAGGCCTTAATTACCTCCTTTGTTAAATGTAGCTTCTCCAGATTAAGGTTCTCCTAAATATTTGATTCAGCTGTGTTAAAACAAATGTTCCATTCACTTTAGTGTCTTCCTCCTTTTCATTTGCCTTTCTTTTATCAATAAAAAAGTCAGGACATCTCCTAGTAAAAGCTCCTAAGGTTTCGGCATGCAACCAATTAAATGCGATATCTAAGGCTTTTATTTGAGGGAGCCTCCTACTGTACGAAATGGTTGTTGCACAAGTAGTCACCCGAGTATGGATGGTCACTTGGCCTGCTATAGAGTTTTATCATTCTAGAAGCCGAAAAATTAAATTGAGTTTTTTTTCTCACAGGTTGAAACAACTGGTTGGGGTACACTGAACCATCTCAGAACTAGAACTAGATAAAAAAAAGGGCATGATGACCAAAAACTGAAAGACAATGTCGATTTCAGAATAACACAAGACTGGAAATTCAAAACAGGTTATTATTTTCAAGCTGTTCTGCAGCAATGAAGGTCAATCAAGCCTTTAAAACGGGAGCAACTAATGCAAAAATTCTACATCCTCTGCTTCTGTCCGTGCCTTATCAGTTCCAGACTGCCTCCATGTGTATGTAAAAAGAAATATCAACTGAATCTGTGGTAATGAGGCGGAGCCAAGAGGAGCACAACAGAAAACTCAAGCTGCTCTGAATTTGACAGTGCAGGATAGAGAGCTTCTCTATGGACAGTGAAGTTAAGGGGTGTTACGGTGAATGTGAAATCTTTCTCATTAATTAAAATAAGTAATTGCTCTATTATCTGGGGACAAGAGGACATCAGCGTACATTAGCTGGGTAAAAATAGAGGATGTAGAATTTTGGGCTTTTCCTACACGTGTTTCAGCGTTTTTGATTGTGTAAAGCCCCCTCTGTCTTCCTGAAACTGGTGTTTAACACATTGTGGTTTCATACCCTCTTGAAAAGGAAATGGACAGCATTAAACAGCAACAGAGTAGATGTTACAAAAATGTTAACAAAAAGACAACAAACAACAGAGAAGAGAAGATATGGTGTTACCATTGTAACACGATATCTACTAAGAAGTGTACATCTTCTCATATTACGTGTCAGCGAGTAACGTTTTTTTTTTTAACCATCAAAAGGCTTGTAGAAACTGGAGGAAACTCTGAGAGGAAGAGGTATGGCAGACCAAAAGCCACATGTAAAACATATGTTTCTGAGAATCATCAGCTTATGCAATTGGCTGTTCAGAAGAAAACAGCTTAAAGCATAGGCTAATACTAGTCATAGCAAGCCAGATTTAGTTTCACCTGTGAAGAGAAGACGTTAAGCTGTGTTGAAAAAGCCATTAGACACAGAATAAGACAAAAAGGCTTCCCTAAGCTATAAAACACCACTGGTGTACTAAAAACAAGAAGAATGTATTATGGACTGATGTATCACAATTTACAATATGTAGTTCACCACAGAGGCTCTTTTTACGCTGTCACGTAGGGGAAAGGTTCCACAGTATCTGACATCAGCTGTTTGTTTTCCTGGATCCAGGAATTATAAAAAGTCTAAGGGACCTTTAACCAAAGAGCAACTACAGCATTCTGCAGCACCATGTAATATACACTGGGATGCACCAAGTTGATCAGCAGGAAAATTACCAAAACACAATTTCCAACTATCACAAAACTTCCTTAGGAAAAAAAAAAAATGATGAGGCCAGCAGAGTCTACAGACTTAAACCCCACTAAGTTGGTAGGGGATGATCTGGACTTAGTAGTGAAAATAAGGCATCCTACATGTGGTCCATATATAGGGGAACTTCTGCAACACTTTTGGGAAAATCCTTTTGAATATTTTATTTCTATTGTAGAAAGAATGCCTCAACTAGTTTAGTTGTTATCTCATGGCAGTGGAAGCTTTGATGAGTCCTTATTTTAGAACATATTTTTGTCTACAAGTAGAAAACAAGATTTATTTATTTTTTAATGCAATTTTTTTTATCTGCACTATGCTTCAATTTCTGAATATTGAACATATTAATTTTCATCAAAATTTGGAAAAGTTAGGGTGTTTTAAGGGATTGTGTAAGTTAACAGTATTAAAATTAGTATATAGTTAAATAACCATATTTAGTTATTTCTATTAAAATAGCCATAGTAATAGTCTTAATGGTAAAAGGCCTGTTCTTTTAAAGGAATCAAGTCCTAAGGACTACAGAGCACGTAATTCTGCCTTCAGTCATTCCCCCATTCTCACAGTGATGGGTGAATCATGGAATTCATCCATCACTGTTGTGAGAATCATCACCAGTGATGGTGTCAAAGCACATTGTAACCATAGCTAAGCGGTAGGGAAAGAAGCTTGGCCCCTTTACACGGGGCACTCTCACCAAGAAAACAGAAGGCGAAGCAAGTGATATGTCTTGCCATAAAGCCACAAAGACTAATACAGATGAAGTGGGGCAACGGTCATAGGACAGACCCTTATCTTCTGACTCATCTGTGTTTTAAAATTAATAAATTAAGCATTTCTCAACAAATAAACATCCTTAATGCTTTGAAAATAAGATGCTGCAAAATAAGACAAAACAATTTGATGATTCAACTGTGTTTTTTTTGAGTAGATTAACCAGCTTGGTTTTAGGTTTTGTATTGAATTGAAATTTAAAATCGCATACAGTACATCTACTGCAGTTCGACAAATGGATGTGGACCTAACATAACAGTTAAAGCCATTTATTAAATTTTTCTTTCATCAAAATGTGCTTTATTTTTTACTTTATATTAATGTTATTCAGTAACATAAATGGCTGTATTAGTATTATTCTAGGAAAGATTAAAATTTTGGAGATTATATCAAGCTGACAGCTTCTTTAGCAGCATTTTCACCTTATGACTCAAACACCAGAGGGCACTATATGTCCACATATCACTGTTCCTCTCATTTTAAACTAAGAAAATAATTGTATATAGATTTTTTTAAATTGTCATAAGGATAAGTAACCTATAATGCAAGAATGAAAAGCAGGATAGATTCTTAACTATTTGCTTAAACATTTACATAACATTTTGAATATTATCATTAGGTCATTTATGATTGTCATTTTGCCATTTGGTTGAAGGCAT